CCTCACGCACGCCGACCACCGGCGCCACCACCACCACCAGCGAGCAGCGGCAGCACCGACAGCAGCCGTGTGCCACCGTCTTCTCTCTCCTCCTTTCCCCTTTTTGCGGTTTGGTACAAAAAGGAAAAAAAAAAAAACTCTTTTCTCTTCCTAATTTAATTCTAGTTGTTTTTATTAATTTAAATCATGATTTTGATTGTGTTTGATTTTAGCTTTGGGTATTTGATATTATTCACATAATTTTCAGATTTTAATTAAATCAAAAACCCTAATTTACAAACCCTATGATTTGGGAATTTATTGTTTATGGTTAGGGTTTGATCCTAGGTTGTTGTTGTTGTTGTTGTTGTTGTTGTTTAATTAATGGTTTAAACATGTTTTTAATGAGTTTAAAGCCCTCAAATTAATGCTGGAATTTATTTATGCACACTACTTTTTAATTATTGAGTTAGGGTTTGATTATCCATAATAAGGAAAAAGGTTTTAATGATTTAAATATGATTTCCTAGTCTATTAGTGATGTTTTATATTAAATAAGTATGCTGGAATTTTATTTAAGTCATAAAAATTAAGTCTTTTTGAAAGGATTTGAGGTACCCACTTAAAGAAAAGGTTTTATGGCTTTTATGTCATTACATTGGATTGATTAGTAAGGTTTAAAATGTATTATAGTTGCTGAATTTGTGAGAATAGTGGATTAATTACAGTTATGTATTCTTATTTGTAGGAAGCTTCGAGCTAGGTGATTTCTAGCGAGTGTGGCCGAGTTTAGGCTTTATTCAAGGTACGTATGTGCACAAGAATATTTGTGTATGTGTAGTATCATGTCAAGATTGTAAAGTATGATTTAAGAGATGAATTAGTAGCATGTTTGGTTGATTATATGCTTGGAATTGATGTTGGTTGAACATGAATTGTTATGCAAGCATGTGAATATGTTATTTGAGGTATGATACAAGTTAAATATGTATGAATCATGGAAGTATGTTTTATTTTCAAGTATCAAGAAGGCATGTATTTAATAAGCAAGGCTTATATATGAGTTAAAAAGCTAAAATTATAATTATTGAGCATGATTCATGAATTTATTTCTCACCTATTTATTATTGGTGTTGAGTCAAGAAGTTAATTTATTTATTTACTCGCTCATGTAAGTTGAGTTCGAGTTGAGGAAGTTTAGTAGTGCATTTTATGCACTAAGGTAGTAATCGTGCAATTTATTTTATTTTGATGTTAGGATATTCATGTAAGTGTGGTGCATATGTACTCAGTTTTGCTGATTCGTACTTTTGTGTTTGTGTTTGGCTTTCCTTTGGATTGGCCCTACTATGGGCCCTACTATGACCCATTTATATGGTGAGTAGAGGGTTGAAATAAAGAGGAAGTAACAGGTACTTGAAGCATGAACAACATGATGGGATAGAATGCAGAGAGTTACTTGTTATATTTTTTTAGTTTTGATATTTTGAATTATTGGTTATTGTTTATGGACTAACAATATAATATTCTGTTTATTTTAGTTGTTTTTGAGAAGGACCATGTTTGAATTGGTTCCAACTTGTGAATGTTTTATTCTACTTTTGTTTTGAGGTTGTGAACTCAAGTTTTATTTTTGAAAGTTGGTTTTTATGTTTTAGACTTCCGCTGTGAGATTTTGAAAATTAGCCTTAGCCGTTATCACAATGGCGGTAACATTTTGGTTATTTCCTAAAAAGGGTTTTATTTAGAGTAAAATGAGTATTTCTAAAAGAAGAAAATTTCCATAGTATTACAACGAACTCAGACCCACGAACCAGACGAACCCAAATCCACGAACTCGGACCCACGACCTGTAATACCCTTGAAATTTCTTTCCTTTAAAATATCTATTTTGCCCTTTTTAAAATATGAAATAGGAAAATCTAATACATTACCGCCACCGTGAAAACGGCTAAGGCAAATATCAAAGACTCACACACAGCGGAAGACTACCTTTAAAACCATTTAAAACAAGTCAACTTAAAAAGTCAAACCAAACGAAAGTAAAGTCAAACAAAGTCAACCTACAATTTGGAACCATCGTAGGCCCTTAAAACCAAACAACTTAAAAAAAAAACATTTGCGTTAGTCTTATGAGTAGAATAAAATAAATAATATTCAAAGCAAATAAAACACATCATATTCCTATGAGAACTAAGCATGTTTCGCTCTTCACTCAAGCCCATCATGAATATGCTTCATCACCTGAAAAACTTCTCTCTACTTGTCCCCACTAATCGTCATTATAAATGGGTCGTCGTAGGGCCAAGGTAAAAATAAGGCCAAGCAAACATACAAACACACAATCAGCAATGCTGAGTACATGAGCGTAATAAAACACAATAGCATGCTTTCATCCTAACATCACACAACTTACCGTGTAGCACCTGCTTACAAGCATACAAAACATTCAACACCTAACTAGACCAATACCAATGTTCATTTACTTTTGATTACACATCGAACGGGTTCCCAACCAAATCCCTTCCTCAAATAAATAGGGGTAAACTACACCGGGAGTTAACCGAGTAGGCAAATGTCACATGAAGTGACTGGACGTCCTGTGCATAAGATAAATAAAAAGGAAAATACAGTGTTTTGTACTCCCAGTAGAAGTTATAGTCAAATATAAATTAAAGTCGCATAACTCTCCTCATATGTTCATACTCAAGGTATATACATTTCAAGAGTTTTGGTGTGTAATCTCTTTCATTTTACGTTATTTACATATTATTATACTTGGTGATGACTCTCAAACCATAGCACAATCAAACATTATAAATCATTCAAGCAATTCAACATACCAATTTAATTATTGAATAATTAGTGACCACATAAATTTAATAGTTGAACTCTTTTTAATCTACCACAGTGTCAAAGACACCTTAAACGCATAATGCGTCACAAATCCTATCCCTTGGTATTAGAAACATCTTAAGTGCACATAAGCACCGCAATATAAGTTATTCCTGTGTACTAAGACACTTGATAGCTCAATCCCCATGCTTAAAGTATCAATAAAAATTATATGAACCATAATAAAATTCCCTTTTCATATTCCAAACCAAATTAAACATTTAGTTTAATTAAACATGCTCTCTATCATGGCAATAATAAAGTGTGGTTCATAATCAACATGCCAATACAAATAATTCCAATCACCAACTCACAGTAAATAATTCATACATCACAATCATCCACCAACATCAATCCAATCAACAAATTCCAACCAACACCTATCATGATACTACTCGGAATTAATTTATCAAAGCCTAGCATGCTTTTACATATTCAATTAATTACCAAGTACGCGAACATACCTTGAATACGATATCAAAATCGCCACGACTAAATAAAATCACTCACTTTGAAATCTCCTACAAACCAAAATTACAAAGAGGCATTATTACCTATTCAATATAAATTTATAGCAATATATACACTCTTTAAATCACTCATAAACCCTCTAAAATAAGCTGAAATTTAATTAAAACTATTACTTTTATTCCCAATTAATGGGTAATTAAAAATCCTTTCAAGAAACATAATTATAGCTTATATATAAAAATTTCAGTTTTATTAAATCATCTAAAATTATTGTAATTATGTTTTAAAAACACCTATTTCAATAATTTAAATCACCTATAAACAATTTCCATCAATATTCATAAACTTAGAAACCTAGGGTTTGTAATTTAGGGCTTTTTAATTCAAAACCAAATCTAAAAATATATATACATAATACTTAAAATCAAACATCATAAAAATCATCACAAAACCCAAAAACAATAATTAGATTAAGGGTGGATTGAATTAAAATAAAAAAGAACAATTTTTTTTTTGTTCGACCACCGGCGCACGACCACAAGGCCGGGCTGCTGCCGCGCCTGCTTGGTGGCCGCTGCTGCCAGCGAGTGTTGGTGGTGGTAGCCGTCGGCCAGTGGGCAGCCGTGGTGGTGGTGGTGTGTGTGTGGGTGGTGATGAACCAAAAATAAAATAAAGGGGAAGGGGAAAAATTAAGGGGGAAAGAAAATAAGAGGAGAGAGAGAGAGTTTACCTTTGGGTATTCTCCACCTTGAATAAAGTTTGATTTTGCTCATATGATGGGTATTTATACCCTCTCTCAATAACCCTCCTACTTAAAATTCCTTTACTACCCTTAATGATCCCTTTCCTATTCAAACTAACATTTTGACTTTCCTTAAAGACCACTGACTTTGAAATTACCTTTTTATTAAATTAGATGCCCCAATATTTCCAAATCATGAATAAAATATTTTCAAGATTGTTAAATAATTAAAAATAACTTTTAATTAAAATAATTCTTTTTAAATTAATGGAACACCATAAATAATTCATTTCGAATAATTTAAATACTTTAAGAAATACTTATTTAAATTAAAATACGTATAAAAATACGGGGTATTACATTTATTAGGTAAAAAGTTAAATTAGGTTAGTGATCTAATTAAATGTCTAAGTTGTTTAAGTAAGGGTAATATGGTCATTGTGTTTGCAAAAAGTTACTAAAATTATTTTTACTGATTAAAAAACAAAAAAAAAGTTTTTTAATCAGTAAAAATAATTTTAGTTAATAAAAATACTTTCAGTTTAGTAAAAATAATTTAAGTATGATATCGCATGTCTAAATATCCGCCAAAAAGTTTATCCTAAATTTCAATAAACATATTGGGCATCGCCTAGGGTACAAAATTAGTACGTATATAAAGGGGAGTTTTTTTCCCGAGTTTTAGAGAGGCACGTAGGATTTAATTTTAGTTTTTTAGCCAATTAAATAAGAGATTATTAATTTCTTTTAGAATTAAATAATTCAAATGCCACATAAGAAAAATTGGCGAATGAGATTTTTAACTTTAAATTAATTAAATATAAAATATTATCTTTTGATACTAGGAATTTTATCAAATTATATAACAACTTTTAGCACATAAACAAAAAAAAAAAAAAAAAAAAAATATTCAAACAAACCGTGCATCGCACGGGGTTCATCTAATTATTGTTATTGGGAGGTTAATCAAGCATTGGGTTACTACTTACTTGGCTTTAAGGGGAAGCGCGATTTGACTATTTGAGGATGTATAGATTGGTTTTTCCAATTAAATTTTTTTATTTTTTTTAAATAGATCCAACAAAAATTGTTCATCCATTTTATTTTAATTGATATTGATGGTGAATATTATTCACATAAGTTATTTTATCTTTTTTTTAATGGAAAAAAAAAAAAGAAAAAAAGTTATGTTGGGGTTCCATCTTTTTTTTAAGAAAGCATGTTTTTTTTTTTGACAGGAGAAAGCATGTTGGGGTTCCATCTAATTTGTCACAAACTCACAATGTACCTCATTCATACAGAAAATACAGTAACACCAAAAAAAAAAAAATACAGAAAATACTGTATAATAATACAGAGTAAAAAAAATACGTCTAACAAATCAACGATCAAAGAAGAAGTCAAACGCAGATACATTGGTATATAATAAAGTCAAGCTCAAAAAATTTTCTTGTCACCGGCGGCAAAACCTCCGGTTGCCCCCTCCAAAAACCAAAACCCTCCATTCTAAAATGATGAGATCAATCGAAAGAAACAGAAAAAGGAAGAAACAGAGGTTGAAGAAAACAAACGATAAACCCCAAAACAACCCCATTCAATCACCCCTAAATTCTGTTGAACTTCCTGAAGAACTCATCTTTTCTGAAATCCTTCCAAGATTACCGGTAAATTCCTTAACCCGCTTCAAATCTGTTTCAAAAACATGGAATTTCATTATCTCCACCCCAAATTTCATCAATTCCCATCTCAAATGCACTATTTCAAACCCTTTTGTGCCCTCAAATTGTGTGTTTATTAAATCTGCTTATGATTTTTATATTCTTAATTATTCTGCATATGATAGATACCCAAATGATAATTATGATGAAAAGGGTTTGATTAAGGTTAAAAGTCTTCATTTTGATGATAATGGTGTGAATACTTTCTTAATTGGTTCATGTAATGGGTTAGTATGTTTTGGGCGTGGAACTGCTTTTAGTAAATTTGGGTATAACTTTCGTGTTTATAATCCAGTAATGGGTCAGTTTCTTCATGTGTCAGATCCTCTAGGGAATTTTCAAGGGAAATTGATTTTTGGGTTTGGGTTTGTTTCTTGTAAAAATGATTATTTGTTGTTGGTTGGTGGTCTTCAGAGGAAGAGTTATAAGAATTTTGTGTATATTTATTCATTAAGGTCTAATGATTGGAAGAAAATCGGAGCTTTTGATGAAGATGAATTTTCGATTTACTTGGGTGGTAGAGGAGTATTGGTTAAAGAGACATTGCATTGGGTTACAACCCAAGTTCGAAGAACGAATGCTAAGTGTATAAGTGGGTTTGATTTGGTTGATGAGAGCTTCAAGGATGTGAAGATGCCTAGGGTGTTTTGGCGTAATGATCATTTTATGGATTTTAAATTGAGTGAGATGAATGGATCATTGTGTGCTTGGGGTGAAGATATCTATGGTGGGGTGGAAATGTGGATGTTGATCCAATATGGGGTGTGGGATTCTTGGACGAAACTTTTCAAGATTGACATGATTCCAGGTTTGGATAACTTCTATGGATGCTTAGATAGCGGGAAAGTTTTGGTCCAAACAAATGATGGATGTCTCTTGCTAGCTGATCCGGATCAAGGTCAGCCACGTTTTATGTCATTAGTGAAAGATTTGGGTGATATTGAGGTAGTGAATTATATTCGGAGTCCTATTTCTCCTTTCTCTTGAATGTTCCAATATTGTGGAACGATACAGTTATCACTTCTTTTTTGTATAGATTACTTTGTTGCATGTAAACTACCTTATGAATTGTGCTGTAGTAAACAAAGATGTATCTATGTTCTGCAATAATCACCCTCATCTCCCTAAAAAAATGGATAAAGAAAGCAGATGAGGAAATGCAAAATGGAGTTAATGGACATCTTTTCGGAATGGTACATTTATCATTTTGTGATGCTGTTTTTAGTTGCAGATGTATCTCATTTTCTGACTTATGATATTTTGTGAATTTGAGTTCCATGCTTGTTAACATCTTTCAGTTGCTGCATACTGTTTTTTTAGTTCATCTTCTGAGTGTCGTTGAGGCTATGTTAAAGGCCACAAAACCATTGATTTAGATAATCTGTCCCCCCACCCCAAGTAAAAAAGCCAAAGTAGCCAGTTTGGCTTATTTTCTAAGTTAGTGGAAATTTTCTATGGAATTCAGGAGGAAGTTTCTTTGGGTCCTTGTAAGATTTTCAAGGTGACTTGTAGCCATTGGCTACTACTGCATTAGATAATAACAAACAATATTTAAGCGTGGTAAGGCCCATTCCAAAGGCTAAAAGTATTTCTTCTCAATTGTGTATGTGAGGCTAAACAAATCTGCTTTCTCTAACCGGCCCTAGGTAGGATGTTTGTTAGTGGTAATGAGGTAATATATATTATTGTATGAAAGCTCCTTTCAAAGGCCATATGTTCAAATTGTGACTTGTACGTTTTCAGAGGCTGGTGGAAAGTTTGGATGTAAGCATCCTGAAGCACCAAGGAGCTTCTGACTTCTGAGAGTCCAGAATGGCCACTTAAACTCAGAGACCATAGATTATACAGCATCTAAAATCAGTCATGAGCCTCATGACAATTCATTCGAATTTAGACCTCGTGGCACCACTCAGGGGGCTTTTAAGACTTATCAGATAATAATACTGATCGAGTCTTACCTTTGTAAAGACCTGTACACAACTTTAAGTGTATAACTCACACCTATTAGACATTCAGGAAGTTTTTGGTTCATAGAACATGGAAGACATTACTATTATTGTCCAACATTGAGCTTTTCTCACCAAGCCTTATTATTATCTAGGTCGACCCCTAATTGCTATGTGCTAGATTTGTTAGGCACATGCTCTGTTACTGTGGTTTCCTGTAAGATCCAAACTGGCCAATTGAGTCATTGACTCATTGTTGTCATTAATTCATTGCCTAACTGGATAATGCGATTTTTATATGAAGATGTGCGATGTAAGAAGATTAAGTATCAAGTGATGGACTTTTTACCTGTAGCCTGTATTGATCCTAGATGATAGCGGTTCTTAGATAACCTTTGGCGAAAAGCATTCTGAAAAGCTGTAAATTACAACAGTAATGTCTGTAAGAACTTTTCATAGAGCTCCTTAATTTGTTGTAAGGATCCAAGTTTGGTGACTTGAACTTTGTAATTACCATTTTACCGCCCAGATATCTTCATCATTCTAATCTGAACATACAGTCATACATGCTCTGCTTATAAGAATTTGTAAGCTGCCAGTTCTTACCACTAGTTTATTGTAGTGCTTGACCAGAGATAGTGCTGCAATGTTAAATTGACTTCTCTGTTGGAGTATATCTAAGCTACCAAATAATGGCATTTGGCATTCTGTTGTTACAATACTGAACTAATTGTTGTATGAATGGCATGATGATGTCAGTAAGTTGCTTGAAATATATTTTTTGACAGGTCGTCTCTCAGTGCGTGTCTTTGTGCAGTGTGCGCAAGCACAATCAGATGCTAGTTTCGATGTTAAGTTTGGTAAGTATATAATGCTTATGAAGCTCTGCATTTGGATCACTGATTCTCTTCCGGAATTAAAAACTTCTGATTTCAGACCTTCATAACCTTCCATTGTTTTATCTGTATTGGACTCTGGGGACAGAGTCTTATGATAGCTAATAAGATCTAGCTCAGAAGAGGGTCATGCCTTCATGTGCTCAATAATGGGCAACCACATGGACGAAATTCCTGCTATAGTCGAATTTGGGGAGAATTATAACTTTATAAGCATTTATGCTTAGAGACCCACCCAAACTGTCCTTTGAAAGCTCCATGAGATTTACCACCACGTGTCCGGTCTTACAGTTACTCTTGTATGATTTTGGTTGGCGGGGGCGAGGGGGTGGGTGGACAGTGGGGTAGTGCCGTATCGGACTAGTGATGGTAGATTCATCTGGCCCTACAGTTAGCCATACTTGCTTCTCTGTATCCTCAATTATCAGGTCACTGGAAGTTGCAAGCTGAAAGGATTAGAGTTTATGAGTGATCAGAATGTCAGATTGTATATATCGTAGGATTAATTTTAGTATAATTCTGGTAGCACCAGTGCATACAGTCAGTTTCGGTTATCCTCATTACAGTACCCTTCTGCAAGAGTCCTCTGAATTTTACCATGTTATTCCAGCGATGTAGTTGGGTTTTAAACTCGAGTTAAGGTTGAAATGTCAGAAGTTAACCCGGAAAATACCCAATAACAGCCTGCCTGACAATCTTGAAATCTCAAACACAGTCATCAACCCCAAACCAAAATTAGCCCAAATAATTTTATCCTAAGATGTGTGACCAAAAATGATGATCTCAATTTGATAGGTCTAATAAGATAGGATCTGTTTCTTTAAATTAGAACTCTGCTGTCTGTAAACGTGGGAATTGTTTATGAAATCTTGCTGTTGAAGCTGGATTTAGTCATTGACTTAAAAGATAAGATGATAAGGGATAATAGTTAGGTGGATTCAAACACATGCCCTCGTGTTACATGATTATCCTGTAATCTTTTACAGGAATCTTGTTTTACTTCTAAATCTGTCTAAAATTTCTACTGTCTTTTTGTTATTTGCAAGAGCCAAATTCCATGATTATAATATAGTTATTAAATGAACATTATATGGAATTTCCTGCAAATTTCTAGTGCTTTTTTTAAGGGGCAATTAGAGGGGGTAATTTGGATTCCTAATAATGGATTATAGTCATTAATTATAACCTATATTGTATTGAAGAAAAGGATGAGAACTGTTGGGAATTTAGTGGAGAAAGGACGATGATATATGTAAGATTACTTGTTGATTTAGCTTTTTAAGACTAAATAGTTTGTTAATTACTGTCTAACTTCTGTCATGATTGGCTTGGCATCCTAATCCAATATTAAGATAGCTATTTTCATTTTAATAATGAAATGCTGTTGCACCAAAAAAGAATAATGAGCTTTTATGTCATCATTTGTCACTATGATTTTAATACTTTTTTCATTTATGTGGAGAATAGAGGCTGCTGGCTGCAAAACGATCTCTATTATGTACAAACTATTATCTTCTTATTAATTGTTTATGTGGTTCATGTTTCTTGTATTCTTTAATTAAATTTAAGTCTTCAATTTGGACATGAAAAACTTATTTTTAAAATAACCTTTAGTATTCACACTTGTACACGTACTCGTGTTCAACATTAACATTTAAATTTAGGATTTAATCACAATAATAATAATTGTCCTTTTGCGCCATAAATATATTGACTTTGATTTTTAAAATTCTAACTTTTTGTTATTCGTGTATAAAATATCAAATATATTAATGATCAAAATTGTGCATTCCAATTAATTATTAAGGTGGGAGGAAACACAATTGTCAACACATGCTTCTATTTTTTTTCTTGTATTTATAGAGCAACCCAACTGCCAAATGAGAGTATCCATAACACCTTCTCTAGCTGAAGCAAAAGAAAGGAAATAGGAAAGAATGAATCAAATGAGTGAGTTATTAATGAATACTTGTGAATATGAAGATAATAGTACCTGTCTGAAAATCCTCCTCCGTCAGAAACATCATCGGAAGATAGTTTCAGGAATCAGATTGCTTTCTGAATCCTGCAATACTGCCAGAGTAAGCAGCATTGTAAGCGCGAGGGAGGTTACTAAGGATCAAGACGAAGATGTTCTTGAGCAGCAAAGTGAGCTCCCTCGCGATATACTAATGCATCAGATACTTGCTAGACTGCCTATCAAATCCTTGCTTAGATCAAAGTCGGTTTCCAAAGAATGGTACACTACTGTCTCCTCTAAAGAATTTGCTAATGTTCATTTAAAAAGTTGTTACGCTAGTTTTTGTCCCTCTTCTCCTGTAGACTGCCTCTTTATTCAAGCAGAAAAAGATTTCTATCTTTTCTACCTTCAAGAAGGTGAAAAAGTGCTTGATTATTCCTTAGTGAAACTAGAACCTAATTTTGAATGTAACAGCCTAAATGAGCTTTGTTTGGTAGGTTCGTGTAACGGCCTAGTATGTTTATCAGATTCTTTAGCAGGTTACATCTATGTTTGGAACCCCATTGCTTATAATTGGCAGAAGTTTTCTGACCTCTGCTTGTATTCTTATAACTACCGCATCTCTTGGGGTTTCGCGTATGTTTCCTCTATTGATGACTATAAGGTGGTGAGAATAGCGGAAAGCTATGACACTCAAGAAATCAGTGTGTCTGTTTTCTCATTGCAGACCAAGGAATGGAAACAGATTCATGATCACGGGCTTGATCATTGCGTTTCTTTTGCCAAAACTAACCCCGGTGTTGTGGTGAACGACACACTCTATTGGATCATGGCGACAAGAGATCCTACTAGGAAGAATGTTATTGTAGGTTTCAATTTGAAACTTGAGAAGTTTGATGAAATTCCCGGTCTTTTTCCTAGGAGTGCTGGTTTTCATGATCACTTTCTGTGTGTCATGGGAGGGTGCTTGTCCCTGTGCAGCTCGAACATGCATAAGGAGTCTTATTTATCGATGATGAAGCAATCCGGTGAGGTTGTGGAATTAATTTCACTATCCTCTAACTCGAAATCGTGGTCGTACTCTAGCTTGGTGGGATTCACAAGGACTGGCAAGTCCATTGTGGTCTCAAAGAGTTGGGAGCTAGCTCTGGTTGATCTGAATTCATCCCCTAAGCAGTACATTCCCCTTGTAACTTTCGAAGAAGCTCGAAAACCTTATATGGTGGGCTACTTCCCCAGTTTAATTCCACCATTTGTAGTTTGAAGGTTACATCAGTGTTGAAGAACAGGGGAAGTACTCTATTACATTTTTTTGCTAAGCAAAACTTAATTATGGATATTTAATCTATCTTGTATAATATGATATCTTTTTCTTTTTTTTTTTTTTTTTATTTTTATAATATGATATCTT